TTCCCTGGCGAGAAGAAGTGATCGGGGCTTCCCAGCACCAGAATGGTTTGCAAGTGCCCTTGCAATTTTACCTTTGAACTATACAATTTCTAAGGATGGAGTCATAGACTAGACAAGACGGAAGCGGGCGCAAAGAGCGTCAAGAAAGTGCAGGTCTTGTGAGTGCAAGTTCTGCATTGCACTGGCAGCTTGAGCTGTGCATACATGCTGAGATTTGTGCCCAAACCCCAAACCCCAAGCCCTACAGTAACCCTATACCCTAAACCGCAAGCTCCAGCCTTTTTCAATAGTAGTCTCCATTTTCTTTCCCATTATCCCTATATAACAGCGACATATATCCTACTGTAATATCGTAGTTTCCATTTTCTTTTCCACTATCCCTACACAACCCCTTGAAGGGACGCCCGAAGCCGTGGAGGCTCAGGGACCTGCAGACACGTAGGCTGCAGGGATTCCTGGGCGCCCTGCGCAGATGTGGGGGCCTTGTAATGATTTAGGGGTCCCCTTAAAGGGGCTGCTTATAGGGGTTATATAGTGTTAAGGGTTTAGGGTACTATATAGGGATATATAGGGACATGTAGGTTTTAGGGATTAGGGCTTGCCCAAAATTAGAGGTAGCTTGTTGGGGGTTCCTATAATTTATTATCCGGACCAGAGTATTTTGGAGTCTATAGTGGAAGCACCTGGTTACCGTGTGCTGACCAGGACATTAGTTAGCTTCAAAAAACAGAGGGCTCGAACAAAATCCACAAAATACCAAAATCCTTATTATATGGGGACCCCCAAAACTTGGAAACCCTCATTTATGACTTGAAGCCAACCGACACCTGTGCTTACAGGCCTCTGTAATCAGTGTTCAGCTTTGCCTAGAGCAGTCCCTAAACCTAAAACCCCTTAACCCCTTATCCAAGAAACCCCTAAACCCTAAGCCAATAAACCCCTAAACCCTAAACCCTAACTCCTAAACCCGTAAGCCCCTAAACCCCCTAAACCCCTAAACCAATAAACCCTAGTCACCAAGGGATCTTCATAGCCTCTCGCGCAACACGCCCTCGCCTCGGCGGCTGCGTTTGCATGTGCTTGAATTCTTGAAGAGCCCTGCTGCTGGGTAAGAACATCAATGGTACTACTAGTAGCAAGTATAATAGCAGTAGTAATAATGATACTAATACTGCCAGTAGAAATAAAAGCAACAATACTCATAATAGTCATAAGAATCTTAGGGTTATAGAGGCGTTGATTTAAAATAAAATGGAGACTGCTAGTTAGGGTTTAGGCAAACTGCGTTGATGGCACAAACAGGCTGGGCTGGTAGTTATTCATGTTATACACCCTATAATCCCTATATAACCCACTATAGTAGTTTCCATTTTTCCATTATCCCTATATAACCCTGAACCTTAAACCCTAGTACCTGAACCCTAAATAGTAGTCTCCATTTTCTTTTCCATTATACCTAGTCCCATAAACCCTAAACCCTATAACCCTTATCTGACACCTAGCACACACCTTTCAGCTTGAAGCCCCGGCACCGTCGCAGCTTTTGGAACTTGAGGGTATGTACCCTAGGTACCCTATGTTGGGTTTAGGGTTTAGGGTTTTAGGGTTTAGGGTTTAGGAATTAGGGTTTAGGGTTTAGGGTTTAGGGATTAGGGTTTAGGGTTTAGGGTTGTAGCCACAAGTATCCTACGTACATTACAAGGTTGGACCCAGATGATCCTGCCATCCGTGGTCGCAACTGGGAGTCTGTCGAAAAGGCCAGGCTGCTGGGCTTGAGACATATAGTCTGCCTTAAGCAGATAGAATAGGGGGTATATGGGGATCTTATGATAATATACCCAAAGCCATACTCTATCTACTTAAGGGGGACTGTACAGGGTTTAGGGTTTAGGATTTAGGGGTTCAGAAGGTTTCAGACTACTTGCTTCGGTGGAGATACAACATGTATCATGGTAAGCTGCAACGGAATCGAAGACTGTCGAGTCAGCGACATTGTAGAGCTGGCGTGATGTGTGTACGCAGCACACCCAAAGTGTTTTTTGGCCGTTGACGCTCGTGAACCTAAACCCTAGATCCTAAACCTGATAGCGACCACGCTGCCAGGTCCTGAACCAGAGGGAGGCTTATCTTTCCTCTCTCAATGGCTGGCAACTAAGATCTGAAGGAACGGTGACTTGTGGGGTTTCCCAAATTAAGAGTATCTTCAAAGGGATTGTAGGGATTACATAGGGTTTTTTCAGGGTTTAGGGATTAGGGTTTGAGGTTTCCCAAATGAAGGATTACCTTTGTGGGGGTACCCATTCTAAGGATTATCGCGCTTCTGGGTCCATGTTGGGGTCCCCCGATCTATGGAAGCTACCAAATGGCGCGCGTACACTAGCTGATCTTTATCACGCATAGGCTTCTACAAGGATTGTAAATTGATGTCTCCTCCTTTGATCATGGGCACGAGTTTTTTCTGGTATATGATGTGACATCTGGCAGTTGCCCTAAAAAGGGTGACCCCAATATCGAGCCCCGAATACTTTGCTCCTTGCTATAGGAAACCCCCAAAATGGTACCCATAGTTTTGGGAAACCCTGATCCCTATATAATACCCTATATAATCCCAGTTTCCATTTCATTTTCCATTTTCGTTTCCATTTGATTCTCCATTATAGTAGTTTCCATTTTCTTTTCCATTATCCCAATATAACCCCCTATAAAATCCTTATAATATAACCCCTATATAAACCCCTCATAATCCCTATAGTTTCCATTTTCCTTTCCATTATCCCAATATAACCCCATATGTGACATGATGTTTTGATTCTCATGGTGGGAGGCTATAGTTTGGGTTTAGGGTTTACTGGGTTGCTGTTAAGGAACTTAAGTTAAGTTACCCTAAATGGGTATATATAGTAAATAGTAGGGTTTCCCGAATATGGTAACTTAATTTTAGTTCCTGAACAGCAACCCAGTTTAGGGTTCAGGGTCCTGCAACATTCCAGCGCGACGTCCCGTCTACACTTCACGACAGGTGTTCGAGGCCTCCAACAGATGAAGAAGTGACATGAGCGAACGTCTATGGGTTTAGGGTTTAGGGTTCAGAGTTTAGGGTTTAGGGCTTAGGGTTATAAGGGGGATACTGGGAGTTTAGATTATGGCTCATATGGGATGTTCCGTAGGACGCCCTCATGTGCGACACCTCTCCCCCTAGTCGTTGAATCCCTATCCCTGTAACACTTATGAATTTCCTGCGGTTTAGGGCTAAGGGTTTAAGGTTTAGAGTTTAGGATTTAGGGTTTCAGGTTTAGGGTTTAGGGTTTAGGAGGTTGGGGTTTAGGGATCATGCATACATTGTCAGGAAGTCTCGCAAGCTACAGAATCCTCCGGGTACCCTTGCCCCAAACTCTGAACCCTGCACCCTAAACTTGCATATCCCCATGACCCTTTCAAATGGGGCCAAAGGCAGATTGTGTCTTCATTATCCACCTTTGAAACCTACTTTGAATCCTAAACCCTCAACCCCTCCTTTCTAACATTAAACCCTAAAACTCAGACCCTTCAACTCTAAACCTTAAACCCTGTACCCTCAACCCTACACTCCAAGCTCTACACCCCAAACTCTAATCCAACCCTCCCGCATTATCCTTGCTTGCTTACCCTAACACCTAAACCCTATATAACCCCATTATAGTAGTTTGCATTTTCCATGATCCTTATATATAAGCCCCAAACCCTAACCCTAAACCCTAAACCCTGCATAACCCCATTATAGTAGCTTTCTAGGAGGCTTTAGCAGATATATATATATATATATACACCCTATACCCTAAACCCTATACCCTAAACCCTAAACCCTAAACTCTATAAGCTCAGGCGCGCCTGTCTCAGGGAGCCGACCTTGCGGAGCGCCTGGAAGCTCAGGGCGCCAGCGCTGGCGAGGC